CTTTGATTGGCCTACGGTTTGAGATCACAGACTTTTTTTTGTCATTTTCGTAGATCCTCCCGACAAAAAGGTTTGATATTTTAAGTGACTATTGAGGGTTGTAAATATTATGCTGGATAATTATTTTAAAAAGGACATCTTCGAAAACGCAAAATTAATGTCTTCAATATCGTTAACTGAATTTGTATTTAGCAATTTCATTATGCTTGAATAAAACATGTCAAACTAACCGTTAAATATCTACAAGGCGATGTACAAGATTCATATTGAGCATGGTGGGGTGAAACGTCAGTTGCTATTTAATAATAATAACTCAAGTTCTATTGTTTGTTTTCGACTTTAAAGTAACCATTGGCAACTAGAATGCCAACAAATTTCCCAATGTAAACTCATATAACTTCAAGTTGTGATAATACGGCGCCCTCATGTGTTCGCTATAGGCATGTGTTTGTGTGATGATTGCCAACCGTCATTATCTATTTTCTGTATTATTGCGTAATTACGCAAAATAAAACCACGTGATGCTACTTACTGTCTAGTATGGGTATTGCCCGTGGCGTAATATGACGAAATAGATACAGGAAGAGCAAAGTATTGTGGGTAGGTTTCTGACGCGGAAATACATAGGACAGTAAATAGGCATTATACAGCAAGTTTTTTGTATCATCTCCAAATACGCGCTGAACTCACTGAGGAACGAACCATGATTGACACAACTGCAGGCTACATCTCAACATTGAGTGACAGAACGTGATGGTTTCATACGGCGTTGTTTTGTGTGTCGCCGTTGGTATTGGTATGGTCACACAGGCTCGGACAGGTATGTTGTCAGTTAATAACAACAACGTAGTGGTTGCATTGAAGCGAAAGTAACAATGCACGAAGGTTGGTAGTTCACCTTCAAAACGGATTCGGTCTTCGATAGGTGTCTGATTTATTTTTGTGACATGTTACACAGTTAAAATATCGCGCTTTCGACACGAATCGTCGTTCATTGAAAGCAATAAATGGATGGGTCGATGCACGTTGAAAGTAAACGTACTTGTTGTCTCGGTATGACACATCGGAAATCCCCCGTATATTTCACCAAGACGTGCTTGATGTCTTGATGTTTACCACAAACATATCCAGACTCGCTTACCAAAATTTACTAACATTCGCCTACTCTGCTGAGAGCTGGGTGGTGATAAGAGCAATAAGACTCGCACACGCACCACACACACATACACTATTTTACCCACAGCGTAACCTAACTGCTCGACCTAGTTTGACGCACGCATGCGCAGAGTTCATCATAAGTAGCCTGGTATGGCAGCTCAAAGACAGTGTAAAACAGACGGCATTGTTATTGTTTGATTTTTTTTCTTTTGGCTCGATGGTCTATTGATTTCCTTTTGAAAGTGTGTAAATTAAGAGGGGTCATATCTTAACGTTTTGAGCTCATACAATGCCACGTGTACTGTCTTTATCAAATGTCATTAGTTGTAGGTGTTATATCCATGTTTCAGGGCTCACACCACTATTTAGCTGAAAATGTAAGTATTTGGTGAATTCCCCCCCCCAAAAAAAACAGGTTACAAAGATAAAAGTATTGTTATAATTTGTCGACATATATGTCAGAATTTTCGCCAGAATAAAACACGTGTTGGCCTCCCCAAACTCCTACAAAATGGATTTAAACAAAAAAACACAGATTTGTCAAGCTTTTGAAGTGTCTAATCTAGAGTTGCCCTGATCCACAGGTCATCGGTACTTGTTAATAAACAAAGCTACGCACATATGTCTAACAGTTGACGTAATTGAAGTACGCCCTCATACACCGTGTTTCAGATAAAACGCAGCGAAAGAAATCTCATTGGCGATATGAGACATTCAGCGAGACATGTTTGTGCCTGTATATCCATTAAAGGCGCATTATTATTTATTTTGTTGATATTAATCAAACTGCACTGAGAGTTTAGTCGCACTTTAGATGTATTGAACTCGTGAATTTTGATAATAATTATGTATCCTATAATTATCGATATTTGAAGTTTTTATTGGATTGTTATTTATAAGACAATTTCATGAGAATTCAATGCCCCATAAAAACAAAGGCACAATGGACTACTATTCTGTATTATATCTATCATCAATCACTATACTAAAAAACAACACATGTATACAAATCAGTAGTCCAGGTTTGTGACGATGTAGTCAATGGCAACAGTGTATGCTCCCCTCACATAAATAGACATACATAAACAGAAAAAAAATGTTTGCGGGCAAACACTATAAAATAAAATAATTTACAATGAGTAAATGAACATTATCACAGCTTCTTCAATTTTCATTACTATTTTATTCTTGAGGTGTCACAGCTTTACAAACCTCAAATTTCACTTACATATGTTATTGGAGAAATTTAAATGGTAATATATATTTTATTTAATTACACTAATAAACACTTCGTGGGTTCTAACATGTTAGTGGTTTAGTGTGTCGTCTGTCCAGATTGCAGGTCGTGTGTTTTAATTGGGGAAACCATTCGTGTATTAGTTAACATGGACCATATTGGCATAAGTCCGCGGGCCATTGTCTTGTAAAAGTTTTAGCAATCGTTTTGCCTGCCAGTATGTAAATTAAAATCATCGCCTTCACTCAGAGAGTCCTGTCAACTCACGGAACACGTCACAGCTAGGAATTATCCAGATATAAGCAGTTTAATTATAAATACTATACATCAAACAAACTAAACTGAATTTTTTGACCCATGTATAGTACTTAGAAAATATTTTGCGCGGATTTTTTTTCTGATTAATCAAGGTATTGCTATGGAAACTCTTGAATAATTTGCAAATACAATAATAGTGCAGCATTTCACAATGGAGAACATTTATTCTGTATGCATGGCTGCATAAAACATTTCTATATAATCTTATCACGCGATTTAAAGATATTTCATGGACAATTTATACATAGTATTTTTCATTAAAATGATTGTAAAACTTGGGGAGCATATTATGATAATGCGACTGTGTATTAAATCACTATCATTCACCCGTGAAAAAAGAAAAACAGACGTCTCTGTCAGTAACACCCCAGTAACGTTACACAATACGCCGGTACACACGGTACAATAGAACAATGGTCAGTCTAGGTCGAGTGGGAATGATTTGTCTTATTCTGTTTTTATTATAATATTTTCCACAGTCGTGACTATTTACCCACACTCTGCCGTCGTACCTGTTGGGAGCCGATTTGAATTTGAGTGCATATCTAACCCGCAATCGCCATCTATACGTTGGCATTTACAACAAGAAGTCCATACCCGCATAACACTAGATAACAGTTTGGAATATTTAGAGATCGTAACACACTCTCCACCAAGAGACCCACCTGTGACCATCAGTGCGTTGAAAATCGACCATGTTGAGAGCGTGCGAGATAGCGGAAGTTACATATGCAGTGACGTCAGCGGCTCCTCGTTCACAGCATTATTAACTGTACATGATCGTAAGTATACATTTAGAGAAAGAGTTGAGTTTTTAGTGTGTGGTTGTAAAATGGTCGCTACCCATTTTGGAAAAGTATTGGAGGAACATTGAAGTTGCGAGAGGCATTACAAGTCATAGCTGGTTTACCCCTAGTACTCAATGTGTACGGATAATGAATCAGATTGCTATTAAGAGTACACACAACTAATATTCCACAATTCCACCTCAGTCCACTTCTCGCGTCTGCGAGATTTACTGCCCTGCTACTAAAGTTGAACAATTTTCTGGGCCAGTTGCCTATGAATAGGTGTTTATAATATATAACTGCAAGATCTACTAGGGAATTTTTATATTGTGAAATGTTTGTTGTATTGTTCGCATGTCATAGTTCAGAATTCAATCAAATATGTACTATTCTATTTTGTGCATCGGTGACAGGTCCTTATCTTAGAATGACGACATATCCGGAAAACCCAATGATAGCGGTCGGTACAGCTAGCAATATAACATTATACTGCGATGCCAATGGAGAGGATGTGAAGTGGAGAAAAAACGGTGTTGACATTGATGGCAGCGGTGAGCTTGATCTTGATGGCGATAACGACGAAGACGTCCATCTGCAGGCCAACAATACTTTAATGATAACCGGAAGTGACGTAACGGATGCTGGATTGTATGGCTGTTACATTGAATATGTTGTAGATGATGTGCAATTGGAAGAGAATCGTACAGTAGACATACAAGGTTAATATTCATTATCATATTTTGGCACTAGGTATATCGATACAGGAAAATGACGAATTGAATGCTGGGATCTAAGCGTTTATTATATCACTTATAATAACTCCGCTATTCGGGATGACTAAAATACATTAACAAAACGAGTATCTTTATATAGACAGATAATATTAATACACGTGATGACCTTAATTAACCTTAATTACTTGATATATAGAATAGTTTACAATAGATTACACTTCATAAAAATAAACAAACAAACAAGCTATGGCATATCATGATGCGAATACATATACCAATATGTCATGTGAATACATCACCACGCAATTCAGATATACCATTATGGAATATGTAAACACCATCAATTACTCCAGATATGCCATTATGTGAAGTGCATATTTTTTTTCATGTGGCGCATTTTACCATTATATAATGTGGCATTATGTGGTGTACGTACATACATACTCGCTCCATTCAAATATACCATTATGTGAGGTGCATACATCATTGTGTGATACAGATATACTATTATGTGTGATACACACATCACCGTGTTATTCTATACTATTCTTTGCATGGAGTATCAGAAAACTATCAATAGATAATATAAACATATAATCTGTTTATTCAGGTAGTTGAATCGAATCGAGTATACTGTTTGTAATGACGTTAAAAATGGTCACGTTAAATGCTTGTGGTAATAATCCCTTTGCGTCACATTCGCTGACATATACATATATAAATATTGCCCTGAGCGGTACATGACCTGCCATGAGCCGTCTGTAAATATATGTAGAATTACAAATTATTTCCAATAAAATGTCCATCATTTGTCTAACTTGTCCCTAAGTGAAAATAATTGTATATCCCTTGATATGGTGATTTATATGCTGCTTATAGCGCAAGTAAAGTCATGTTTTATTTTCAAAACAGTTCGATTGCAAGTGATAGGACCCAACAGTACGGTATACGCCATGCCCGGTCAGACAGTTAGTCTACAATGCACGGTATACAGTATCCATCAAAGTAGTGATCATTTAGTATGGGTTTATGAAAACACTGGTGAAACTGTGGCTACTATATATCCTACTGGGCATATTGCTACTGCTGAAGGATATGGTCTTGATACAACGAAACCTAATAGATACGACTTGATTATATATGATGTTGACTCAAAAAACAAGAATGGTGACTATGATTGTTATTTGAGTCAGAACGTAGACCCAGACGGAAAAGTAGGAACAGTTACTATCAGTGAGTATATATTGTACGATATATATCAGATAATATTCGGCAATCGTAACTTTTCAAAATAGCTAGACGCTTTTGGCAATGGAACTTCTTCGGGAACAATCATGAAAATGTTTAAACGACAAAGTTTAAACGTATATTAGGCAAACATTACAACGTGTTAGAACAACATAACGAAATATTTTATGATTAAAACAAAATGTTCAATTCATTCTCCATTGTGCTTATTACCTAGTGTGTGTAGAAATATTCTCTTGTGAAATCCCCGTACTACCCACTGTTACTTTATTATATTGTATGTGTAATTCTGGATTAAATTGACACGGTGTACTATCCGTCAGTCTATCCACGGCATAATAAAATGTATGTTTAAATTACAGCAACGAAATCCAGTACAGGCTGTAATATCGGGTGTATTATTGGTATAACTGTTGGTGTCCCTATAGTTGTATTATTTATTATATCACTTTTCATACTGATATGGTGTCACCGGCGAAATCGTTGTGAGTATATGAATTTTGCATTAGAATAATTACACATATTATATATAGACACTGTATTCAAAAGTAGCATCTCGAAACGCAATAATAATAATTGTATTAACAATTTACTTTTCAGCAAAGACAAACTATGGATTACGACAACAAAATAAAAAGTAAGTACCCCCGGTAGTATTTTATGAACGATTAGCATGTATATTATAGTTTATTGTTATACATCTGTCACAGTAACGCCAGAGATTACAGCGTGGCGTAATTTTGCGGTATTTTCATCCTACCTTATTAGGATATGCGAATTCGAAATATGGAATGATTACAAGCGTAAGCGTCCTCTAATAATAAAAACAAACATGGCTGCCACTAGGGTTTGATCCCGGGGTTTTACCCGACTCCACACAAAGAAGTTCGCTGATTCTGTTCTAAACATTTTGAATTTCGGCATTCCCATGATGTGTCTTTGGAAGGAAAAGATGTATAATAATAAGGTTATTACTAGGATACGAAGTATGTACTCAGACAGTACACCCTCGCATCGACCGGCACGCACTCCCGCTGTACTACCTTCGTGCATACTTTGAGGTATTCTCGCAATAACCTCATATTATCACGAGTTGCATGCATGCGGACAGTGATCAGCTTGGGAATGATGAAAATACAAAGGTCGGAGTGGCGGACAGATACACACACAAATACTTATTTGTTAAACATTATATTGTAATTATTAACATGCTTCATTATCATTCAAAATAAACACTAGCATATCATATGTATATGATGTCATCGAAGTAATTACGAATGTACCATGAATACTTTCTGAATTGTTCAACCGTTTTACTTTGTAGAGAAGATAATATGCCTCGTGATGTCGAGATGGCTCCTGATATCACATCAATAACTCGTATTAGAATGGATACCAGAAAACAGGTATATAGTATGTGACAGACTTGGTGATTATTTAGCTAGGAGTAGTTGTGGAACGGTAGTAGAATCTACTAGATCGGATACCAGTAAACATATGCAACATGAGATAGCCGTGGTGACCATTTAGCTTAGAATATTTGTGCGAGTGCCATGTGTACCTTGTACTAAGGGGTGGGGGTTAGTCGCTAGGTTGCCTCCTGGATGGTCGAAAAAGACCGGGTTCGTTGCCCGGGTCTTGCCACTAGAAAGCATTCTCTATTCTAAACTGCATTAGAGGCATGTTTTACTGTTTTGTAAATAATAATGAGCCAGAATTACACAACTTTACATTGCACCACACAGCACACAGACATATAGACTTGCTTGCAGTCTGTTGCGATTCTGATACTCCAACATTGGGATTTCGCGGTCACATGACTTTCGCGTTCACCCCTCGTTTATGCAATTTATATTCATTTTTCAAGAATTTTTCATCGGAATCGCAACAGACTACAAGCGAGTTTAACATACAGGGAATAATAGCATGCACATGGATGTAAAATTAATGTGTGGTCATTTTCCATGTGTTTATGTACTGTTTGCATGTGTTTAGCGTGGACATTCTAACGTTCTGTTCATTTCCTATAACAAAAGTAATTTTAGTTCAGTATTACTAACAGGGAAATAACAATAGAAATGACAATAGCCCATTCATTGTGATTTGCATAACAATATGTTTTTCTTTCTTTTTAGGATGCTTGTAAAACAACGGTGTCAGATCTTGATGTGTGCAGAGTGTACAAGACGCCCAGTCGAAGCATTTCAAGTCCATATTAGCATTTTATTTTTGTAAATAGAAGACATATTTTTTTAAATAAATCGTTTTTTATTTGTATAATCAAAAAATTTGGTCAGACAAATTTCACTGTATTGTGTGTTCAATGATCTAGTTACTGTCAAACTCTTTATTTGTACCGAGATTTATTTGCATCATTTTGAGCATATTAATTGTGATTCAAGTTTACAAATTCAATGATTTCTACTGTTATTTTTCAAGTTTACGTAAATTCATTTAGCGTATTTTACTCGAATTTAAACCCAGTGAATAATGCAATTGGCAGTATTTTTCAAAGGTACACATAACATTGCTATGTCTATTTCAGTTATAAAATGACGAAACACAATGCTTACACATATCCATTATTTTGTTTATGGAAGAGTGATAACTTGTGTATGTACGAGTAAAACTTGTAACTTTGATTCATACAAAATAAGAAATCCCCGTGTCTAAAGAAAAGATGCAAATGGACACAGAGATTTCGTTGTGAGCAAAAGGTACGCGCGATTCCACCCTCCCTCAAACCTCACCGATCAGGGAACAATGCACGCGATAAGTAAGAAAATGGAATACTATTAAATGGAAGGCAAAAACAAATCACATACAGACTAGGCGGTCATTTGCAATAATGTCAATTAAACTGTGTTGTGGATAGTTTTGGATTACGTTTACATAATCCACAGTAGATGAGAGAACTACTTTCTAACACGACCTAGCTTTTTTTTAATTGAACGAACAAAAGAATGTTGAACTTGCCAAATTTCAACATTCAAGTATCTTATTCGGTGGCGCTTGGATCCTGTATAAACATCGTTTGATTAAACGGCAGCATCAGGTGAGGGCGCACTTCACTGAATTAAAACGTTAAGATAAACATACTATTTGGTGACAAAGACTGTCAAGTTTAAATTTCAAAAATAAAAACGGGTGTAACATTCGTTATTTTCAAAGGTAGAAGGATTCACTTGTACTGCTTTTTGTGCTGCTTCTCCAATAGGAAACGTTATCTGATGTGATAATGTACTCACTGCTACCCAGCCATTCACGCGACCTGTCCGTGACGTATAGTTCGAACACAGATCATGTCTGAGACGATGTGATTGCAGATATACCGTTGATATAACTTTTGCAGATGCACTCGAGAGATTTTATTATACCATAAGCAGGGGAAAGCGTGACGACTAAGGTGTATTAACCGGTAGAAAAGTGCATATGCAAAGAATCATAAAACAGAATATAATAAAACCAAACAAAGACAATAGCAGTACATTTAAAACAATCCTACACGTTTTATGGAAGTCCTGTCCACCCCAACCCCAAAACAAAAATAAAATTATACTCATCCTGAAATTAATCAAACCTAGCCCAAATAATTTGTTCGAAGTTCGTAAAAAAAACTATTTTTCAATAAAACATTAACGTGAAATTCATACCAAGGATGATCATCACCAAATACGTTCGTATCACATATGCAAATTGCTGTTGTTATATTTCATTGTGTACATGTCGACAAACCACGAATGCACTGACTCGGAGTTCCGGGCAGCGCAATGAAATATGGGAATGGCATGTCACCAGAAGGAGGAAGTAGCCGTGTTTCCAATCTAAGCTGCATATTATTTCATTACACTATATCGTCGGGTATATTTTACCTTGAATCAGCGTGTTTTACGGTGTCGCTAAATTTCTTCGTGTTTTAATAACAGACTATGGGTTGTCATAATGTTCTGGTGTGCCTTGTTATTACTGCCCTGGTATTTCAGGCGAAGGCGACAGGTAAGTTGTTTAGTTGTCTACACAACATTATTGGCACTTTTCTTGCAGTTTATGCGATAGTTCAATGATTTCTTTGATTTGCATATTGGATTCCTTAATACAGAAGTCGTTTTCATACGAATATAATCGGGGTTACATGATCCCTCTAAATAGAGTTAGGGTAAGGAGGTCTTGCAATGTACGTGCATACCTTTCGTGTAAAGGCTGAACAACAACAGTAAGCTTGATGAAAGGGTATCTAGAAAGTGAAAGTAAATCTCGCGTGTGACCATTTCTACCTTTTTCTTGACGTAAAATGTCCAGCAAACGCCTCATTATGGAAGTGTGGTATTTTCATTCGAGGAAATATTTTCATATTTAGTAAAATCAAAAGTTGAGTTTAGAATACAATGTTTCACAACCTATATAAATCTGGTTAAACACATCATTAATACATATGCTAATTAGTCTAAACTAGTCGATGATAAATTTATTTTCCCATTATTTAATTACGGCTTAAGTGACTACTTAGCATTTTAATCGAATAAATAATGAAACATACAAAAAAAAAATCGTGTTACATGAGGTCAGTCATGGTGACCCGATTGCTAGCTGTTCTACCTGAGGGCGCCATACATCAACATTATTCGCCAGTAATATGTTTCTAGATTGAAAAGACCATTTTCCATTTACCACAATATCATAGCGTCGAAGCGGCTTCAAAACATCGCTAAGGATTCGACAAACGCTAATTTTATATTTTGGGGTATTTACGAGACTAATAGTGTGACTAATAATACACATTTGATTATAGAAATTTGTTTGAAGTAGAAATATTTCGACGCCATATTCCTCTCTGAAAATCGGTATTGAGCTATAAAAAAAATATTCAAAAATAGTTCAAAATCAAATCACTCGATTTTTTTCCGGCAGACGTTCCAATAGCTTCTTTTACGTAATATTGAGATCTCACAGTGAACGTAAAATCCCCTATTTACTCGTCCTCTTTCACCCCAACTCACCGTCACCCATCCGTTCGTTTATCATCTTATTCGGACTAAGATGGTTTGAATAAAGTGGCGAGAAAGTTTTATTAATTTGGATAATTTGGATAATTTGGATAATTTGGATAATTTGGATAATTTGGATAATTTGGATAATTTGCAAGTGATGAAGAATAGAAAACTAGGGAAGGAACTCTAAGCAATAAAACACACAAACATGCACATAATATTTACATATAAAATAAAAAATACTTTTTGTTCTAAAAAGATACATGAAATAAAATTACAAGGAAATATATTCTTACACCTCATAAATATTTTGATTTGAAAAAAATTACGTTAAGAATCAACTTTCCCTGTCAAAATAATGTTTCCGATACAAACTCCGTCATTGATCAGCGCCATCAACGACAATCACTATATCTTCAAAATACATTGAACAATCAACAACGTCAGCTTGATACAAATATAAATGTGGTGACGTACATGCAAACGGCCTCAAACAAATAAAAAGCGTTTTATTTCAAAAAAAATAAAATATCATGCGAGAGTGTGTAAATGGCGAAAACCGTGTTACTTGTGATAAACAAGGGACCTTGTTTATTTTGCGGAATGAACAAGGTATCTTGTTACGGCTTTCGCTATTTATACACTCACATATTTTTTTAATTGAAAAAAAAAACACCAACAAATGAGCAAGAGACTGTATGTCAGTGAAAATAATGGATGCCGATGATTGGACGAGTGGAACGACGATCTTAGCGGCCCTTTGCCAATATACCAATCAACTTCGGAATCGGAAACTAAATTCGTGTTTCCTAACCTTCTTGGCCGTCTAATTAGCCAATCGGGGATCGTTTGGACCAATCGTCAGTGACATTAATAGACTAATGTTAACCTATATAATCTTATGTTTATCAGAAGTTTTGTTGTCTCTGCCATAGAGGTAAAAGACTGCCTTTTACCCCCATGTATCTACGTAATAAACCGTGTTGCTATATCCTATTGTACTGTTGTGTCTGTTTGTTATTTGTCGTCAAACCGCCTTCAAAAATACTGGTTTACAGTATAACTTGTGGCAATTAGAACTGAATTGACAACAAACTCTGTGATACTACTAGCCACGTGCAAGCTGTACAGGCCTAGTGGTAAACTATTTTTTTTGAGCTGCGAAAATAGACTGAAAAAAACGGTATTATCACATTACTGAGCTTGCGTCAGTTCAAAACTAAAGCTTTACGCGCGATGGTCGTTGCGCAGCGCGTGTTCGAAATTCATGTAAATAAACAATGTATTATTACACGCGCTTGTATACGTCGCTATGAGTCCCATATCGAACAAAACACGGCACGACGACTGCCGCCTTTTAAAATTTGTATCTAACTACGTAAAACAAGTTATAATTAATGACATGTTGGTGTACATATGCTAAATCCTTGGAATTTTTATTTTGTAGTAGTAATCTCGCCACCAAGTGCTCGAATTCCCGTTGGTGGTAGAATTGAATTTCAGTGTACGGTAGAAAAGTTGGCGTCAGGCGAATCTATCGAATGGCTAATACAGAAGGAAGGCGCAAGTTCCACTCCATTAAACGGTAGTTCAGACCACATAGAGATAACACATACAACATCCACGACTTCACCCATGATGGCTAGCAGTGTACTAACAATCAGCAACGCCCAACTGGACCGTGATCCCGGCAGTTACATATGCCAGGTTTCAGATACATCATTCACAGCCGTGTTAACTGTTTACACTGGTAAGTATACTAGTAGTATAAAGGAACGCAAACATGGTAATCAGTATGCGTGAAATTGCCAATAATATTAGGTTATTACGAGGATACTGCAAAGTATACACGAAGGCAGTACAGTGTCAGTATCGACGCGCAGCGGAGGTAGATGCTACCGCGTACAATCTGGGTGCATACTTTGCGGTATTCTCGTAATAACCTTATTATTATACATCTTTTCCTTTCATGGATACATCATAGAAATACCGAAATCCAAAACGTTCAGAACAGATAAAGCGAATTTCGTTGTGTGTGGCCCGGTCAAACCCTGGGGCAGTCATTTTTGCTTTTTTATTATTAGAATATAATCATTTCATATTTGGAATTCGCATTCCCTAATATGGTAAGATGAAAATACCCAGCGCAATAACGCAAAATTGAGGCACGCTGTAACTTATGGCGTTACAATGACATGTATGTTATAACAAAAATCAAACAAATCCGGAGTTTACTTTTTTGGGCATTGATTATTTACACTTTCACCAATGATCATTACCTTAATTAATAAACATTATATTCAACAGGTCAAGCCCTGGTGACAGGGCCTAATGACACAGTCCATGCCAGACCTGGTCACACAGTGACATTCAACTGTAAAATCAACAACCTGAGTCAAGCTCCAGAAGCTGTCATCTGGGTGTATGAAACAACTGGTACGACGGTGGCCACTATTTACCCATCAGGCACTACAAATATATCTCGCGGGTTCGGACTTGACACATCAATCAGTAATGAATACGACCTTATAATATATGATGTTAATTTGGAAGATCACGCTGGTAACTACGATTGTTATTTTAGAACAAGTAGAAATCCTGATGGAGAAGTAGGAAGACTCGTTATTTCAACCATCAGTAAGTTAATCAACTGCTCACGCTGAATCTAATTTTAGTTCACAAGTATGTTGAGTGAGGTATAAGTACGATAAGTAAAATATGAGTACGGCACAAGTACGCAGAGTTAGATATGAGTACGATGAGTGAGAACAAGTATGATGAGTAAGATGTGAGTACGACACGAGTACATTGATTTACATATGAGTACAATGAGTGAGATATGAGTACGATGAATAAGATTTTAGTACGGCACGAGTACATAGAGTTAGATATGAGTACGATGAGTTAGATATGAGTATGAGAAGTTAAATAAGAGTATGATTATTGAGATGCAAATACGATGAGTTAAGTATGAGTACGATGAGTTAGAGTATGGCGCGAGTAGGTAGAGTTAGATATAAGTACGTAGAGTTGGATATAAGTACGTAGAGTAAGATATGAGTACGATGAGTCAGATATGAGTACGATGAGTTAGATATGAGTATGA